AGTTATTTTTATTTAACCTATAATGAGTGGCCTTATTAATTATTTCATTTCATGGATGCAGGTACTTCTATCTTGAAGAGAAGAAAACACTTTAATGGTGTATGTGAGGGTAAATTTTTTTTATAAATGGTTTAACTTTGATATATATATAAAATTTATTTTTAATTAATTTAATAAAATTTAAGTATCAATTTATACACAAACTGAATCAACACAACTCGATTGAAGAAAGAACTCCACCAAGCAACCTGATGGTCGCGCGCTTCATTGAGATCGGTGAGCTATTTACCTGATTTGATAATCGAATCATCAGTTACTAATATTTAACAATATTAATTTAATAACCATTGCTCTTATAAAAATAAAAAAAAAAAAAAAAACTTGATTGAAGAACAAAATAAAAATAAGTGGGGTTAAGTTGTTTAATAAAGATAAAGGTAAAGCAAGTGAACTAGATCATGTCGGACAAAAAAGGAAAAACTTTGATTCTTGGTGGGTATTACTTTGGCCTTTGGCGGCAATAATGTTGGAACCACGAATATATAATCAACAAGAATATATAATCAACGAGAACTTAAACTGAGACTTGTAAAAATATGGGGTAGAGTGGTTGTGGTTTTAATTATTGATCAGAAATTTTATAAGATTGCAAGATTAATTGTGTGATAACATCTAATTAACTGAGCTTGTTTTTTAGTTATGTTTGTTATTGAATAAAAAATTTTTCCATTGATAATATAACAAAAACAACATATGAGTTAAATATAAATATGATTATTTTATTTTTTATTAATTGATTTTAAATTAAATATAAATTTTGTGTTAAAACTTACTTATATAGTTAATGACCTAAATAACTCAATTGTCAATTCTTTTTATTAAAAGTAAGAAATTTTAAGTTCAAATCGTATAATATACAGAAAAAATGAAATATGAAATGAGAAATTGTTACATCTCATTATACAATTAAGATAAAAAAAATCAAAAATAAAATAAAAACTTACTTATATAGTTAATGACATAAATAACTCAATTGTCAATTCTTTTTATTAAAAATAAGAAATTTTAAGTTCAAATCACATAATATAAAAAAAAATGAGATATGAGATGAAAAATTGTTACATCTCATTATACAATTAAGATAAAAAAAATCAAAAATAAAATAAAAACTTACTTATATAATTTTCACATGGGTACCTAACCTTTGTGATCCGATAGTTTTATATTTGATTGTAAGGTGTATTTTTCAAACTCCTCACTCTTAAATTATAAATTATTCAAATATATATATATAATTTTCACATGGTATAGTGCGTGTCGGTTAGATACACAATTTTGACGATGGAAATAGCATTTTTCCATTAAATTGAAGAAGAGTGTTTCATATTCTTAGATTAGTGTAATTCGTCACATGACAATTTGACACGTTGCAGAGTTAACAAGATCTATGTCCTTGACAATCAGACGAACCAATTGCAATTTTTTTGTTTTTCTTTTAAAAAGAAAATAAAAAGCACACCAGAATTGAACTACATGTTTAGCAGGTACTTTCCTTTTTATTAAGTGGATTATTAGTCCCATGCTGTTGGACAAAACATAGTTGTGCCACGTTAGTCTGATTCATGTTATGTTGGTTGTGTACATGAATCTAGACATTTGGTACAGCTCTATGTTCAGCCACAACCAAAAAAGCATAGAAGAGAGAAAAGATATAAAAGGGCAGAAATATTTAATGTATTACGGATTTTGCCAAATTATACTAAATGGATTTTTTAATAGTGAGAACTTTTTTTTTTTTCAATTATATAATAAAAAGCAACATTCTGTTCTTTAAATTATGGACAAAGTGGTTTCACTCTGTTTTCTAAGGGAGAATATTACTGGAAAATTTGATTTCAACTCTCAACTCCCTCTTCTTCCACCCCTTAATAATCATAGATAATTGTTTTTGTTTAAAAAAAATAAAAAATAAAAATAAAAAGTAATATTTTTTATTTTTTAATTCACTTTATTTATATATTATATAATTTAAAACCAAACCCTCTTACTTAAGAAAAAAAAGAGAAAATAATATTAAAATATTTAGACCATTGACAATAATAAAAATAACTCTTTATCTAAATATTTATATTTTATAATATGATATAGTTTAAAGTGTAATAAAAAAAAAACCGTTAAAGAATTCCATTTCCACTTTCCTGCTTTGCTATGAAGGCATCATATTGGATTCTTTTTGAGAGAGAACTAATTCGAGATGGTTAGGTGGAAACACAAAAGGAAGGATCCCACATGCAAAATCACTCCCAGAATGCTTTGCTGTGCTTTCCTTTTCAATAATGCTAGAGGTATGACATCTTAGTAAAATGATTTATATAATATGATGTAATACTCCTTTAATTTATTTTTAATAATTTTAGTTTAATTTTTTAATGGTATAAACTATATGACATTATATGGTATAAGATATTGTATAAGAAAATAGGTTAAATGCTAAATTTGGTCCCTCAACTTTAGTGAGTTGCACATTTTTGGTCCCTCAACAATTTTTTGCACTTTTTTGATATCTCAACTATAAGAAATGCACTCCATTAATCCTTCTGTCAATTTAGACA